ATACTGCAGGCACTGTGGAAACACAACTGATTATTGCTTCTTACGTATGTTACCTCATGAGCTAAGAAACCCTCAACACTTTCAAGAAGGTTACTTCCTCGCTTATAAATCTCAGAAAGGTTTATATGGGCCTGCTGCTTCACAGGTCTGAATTGCAATGTACTCTGTCATGTGCTTTGTTTGTGGGGGTTTTTTAACACTTGTTCATTGTTGCTGAATGATTTCTGCCTCACACTTCATCCCTTCTGATGTTCAGACTGAGTTGTCCTAACATCTATTGAGCGTCACTGTTGTAGGCAGAGTTGCATTTGGAATTACATAATATTTCATCAGGGCAGGAAGCATTGAATACCTCTTACAGAAGTTAATGGAACAAAATCTGTTTAATTAAATTGTAACTTTGAGAATTCAGCAGAAAAAATGCTGCATCATTCAGGTTGTAAACGAATGCTGCTTCTAGCCACATTTATAAAACAGGCTGCTAAGTGCACTGTTATTCCTGGACCTCCTCGTAAAGCTTCGCATTGACTTAAATAGGCCAGCCCAGTACATGCTGCTTTGTTATGAGTCCTTGTGGAGTAATTTTTGTTAGGAAGCTAGCTCCTAAAGTACCTGTAAGGCAGCCCCCCTTCCCATGCTTCAGTAATGCTAAACCACCCACTTTGCCTCCCAGCTGAATGCGTGGGGTGAGGACCATCGTCATAACAATAATACCTGCCGCATCTGACTCACTGCAGCTCCAGCTGGGAGAAGTAATAAAATGTACATTTCTGCGTGCCAACAAGAACTGCCACAGTACAAGAAGGATTCACTTCCAAGTTCAGATTTTCTCATTGTGATTTTCCTCCCTCGCTCTTTTTGTATTTTTTGAGTACTGTGGGAGAACAACTTCAGGTTATGGTGTCTGAGGAAACTACCTGCAGGAGCTGAAAAAGTCTGAGATCTATATTCGTGCTTTCAGGAGCATTTCTTGATGGGAGTGTTGTGTTCTCTGCACCACAGGAAAGAGCAAACAAAGCCGAGTACATCTAGCTCCACAGCACAAATGAGAGCTGTGTGCACAAACCCCTGTCTGCAGCACACTTTCACCTGATGAACGTTCAGCACGCAGACAGTGACAATCTCAGTAGAAATCACTGTGGGGGAAAATTATCCGAAACATTACCATTTACCTTACAGCTGCAGCTTTGCATCTTGAAACATTGACATTTCACCTGTAATTTAATCTCTATTATTAACGAATTGTGGAAACTCTTTTCCCTAGGCACTAGACCATCAGACTGTGTATGGAGTCTGTCAGCAAATATTACTAAACAACCATGCAGTCTTTTAGACACTCTAAAAAGAAATAGCTGTACATACAAAAATAGGTATGCAGCTTTTTTTCAAATCAGTAACATACAGTAACTTCTAGGTACTATCGTGAGTAACCAGCTTTAGGTGGCCCTGCTTGAGCAGGGGAGTTGGATGAGATGACCTGCAGAGGTCCCTTCCAGCTTGAACCAGTCTATAATTCTGTGATATGTTAATTGCCTTTCTTCAATTCATTCGTATCACACAGTGAAGTCTTTCAAAATGATTGATCTGTCATGAACAACAAAGGTCACTGTTTTAAAGGACTTCTTTGGTAAATGTCCTAAAGGAGCTTTTCAAATACTTATAATTAAGTTCTGCACCTTTATCTTCTTCTGTGCTAAATGATATTTTGTCCAAATAAGGAAATCCACAGAAGATCTCTTCTAAGGGCATCTTAAGGATGACATTGTTAGATTCACAAGAATTGCTATATGCTAAAAATGTAATCAATCAGAGGTACAGGTAATAGTAGGCAGTGAAAGGGAAGATTTTATAAAACATTTTCAGTTACTTGTCACGTACAATGGATTGAACAAAAAGCAATATTCCACTCCGGGAGGATTTAAATGCCACCTTATTTAGTTTGAGAACAAAGAGCATTTTCAGTTTATCTTTTGTGTGTACAGAGAAGAGGCAGCAGAATGGATTTGTTGTGCACAAATCATGGCTAAGGTGGTGCTGAGAACAGCATAGATAAAGGGGTTAGTGTGACTACAGACAAACAATGATTATTTATGGACTTCAGTGTCCTTTTCTGCATTGCTAGAATGAGCAATGATTAGATCTGAAGCCTACAAAGAGTTTAAGGGGCTTGGTGGAACAGATACAGTTAATCTGTGTTTGGTTGTTAAACTGACTTAAGAAGAAAGTCACGTAGGTGTGTTTTATCCTTCTTAAACTCAAATTACATTAAACATTATGTAAGAGTCATATAGTAGAATTAGATTTGCGAATGCCTCAAGCAGATATTGAAGACTGGTTGCATCTGTTGCTTATAGAGAGTAAGATTTGATATGAAAGACTTCTTTTCCTAAGAACTGTGCTATAGATATTATGATCACTGATAACTGTTTGCAGAACACCATTTTAAATCCATTATCTTTGAGAATTTACAGATGAACACAAGGATTATATGACATTAATGATCATATTTTTCAGAAGTTTTTGAGTCGGTTGATTCTTTTTTAGAGTATTATTTTAATTACACACTAATGAGTTTCTTCTTTCACCAGTATACAAATTAGTTCCCACAATATTGGATATTATGAGGCCTACTAGCTACATACTGGTAGGATGCAGACAATGTGGAGTTACATGACATCAAACCTAGCCAATAGTCACATGAATGTATCATTATCAGCTCACTTTTGTGATGTTCTACCTTAGTAATGAAAGTTTTAAAGAACTTCTAGTAACTGTTCTTATATCTGAAGTCGTGACCTGTTTTCAAAACAATTTCATGTCATTTCATGTCAATTTCATGTCATGTTCAGTAATCAAATATATATTTTTAGACATTACAGCTAGCCACAGCATTTATAGCTGTGCAAGCAAAAACGATACGTACAGTCAGCTCTTAGGCTTGAAGATAAAGGGGAACCTGCAGATATCAAGAAAATCCAGCATTATCAGTGGTTCAACGCAGTGTAGGTTTTGAAGTATTTAGTGATTCATTACTGCAATTACACAGTATTCTTATATAATGTAGTAGTTGTTCTTATCATTATGTAAGAATATGTCCTACGACATAACACAATAAATGTTGAACTGATCTGTGCAGGATAATGCTGAGTACGTAGGCTCAATCCATGTTTATGATGGCGTCATCCAGAACAGACAGAACAAACTAGAGGTCCTTTAGAGACTATAAAAGAGTGTTCTTTTTCCATATTTTTAAAATTAAGGGAAAAATCCTGGCCTCTACTGAGGTCAATGTCAATTTTACCAATGGAAGCAAGATTTGATGTCAAATTGAGAAAGCAGGAAACTTTTCAATGTGCTTCCCTTGTCTCAGTTTTTTTCACTGGCCCAAGTTTTTCTGAATTAAGTCATAGGATGACTTACGTGCAATAGTCAAGACAAATAAAACTTCTTGCTGTATTTTTAAAGTGTTTAGCATATTCAGATCTCTAAAATGGATTGCATTTGTTATCTCCTTTCCTTGTTTGCCTTTCCCTTGTGTATGATATCCCTCAAAAAAGGTTTGGGGGTAAGACATCTCAAACATTTTATTACTCAAGAGTGTTTGATTACCACTGTGTCTGTCCACTGAGATCCGAAATGAGCTACACGACTTAATTGCCTGTAGGTGTTTGTAGCAATATGTTCGTCAGTGTGTAGGTTTTATAATAACAGGCTCAGTGAAGAGAGGTGCATTGTTATGATGCTGCATGACAAGTCATCAGGATAAGGGGGATGGGGAAGTTTTGGTGGGATAAACTGTGGTTTATAGGTCAATTAAGTACAGGATCTGACACCTTGTCTGCCAAAGTAACATTTACA